TAAAATTAATCAAAGTAATGTAATATGTTGCAGTTCTACAACGAAGCAAACATTTTTACCTATTCATTTTGAAAAAAATAAGGGGAAAAGTGGGTTTTGTGTAATTCCTCCTTGTTCGACGAACTGAAATCTTATGGGTTGATTCAAAAGAAATGGAAGATGTGAATCATAATATGGATAACATGCTATTCTTGCATTCCTTTAGCTCGTTAGGTCTCTAAATTGTACTCAACCCAGTGTTCATTAAAGATGAATCGCAATATTTTAGTAAATAACACATCCTTATATTTAAGGAAATGACATATATATGATATATCTACTGTATATTATCAATGAAGATTATAACATATCAATAGAGTGAGTAGAATATGAAGAAATTATGTCTCTTGGTTGCAAGAAAAGCTATATGTGGTAAGCCATTTTGTTCAACATGAGAATTTCTTAGAAATCCACCTTATTACGTAGATTTAGCTCATAAGATCCCGTCACCTTCTTGTCAAAAGTATTTGTTCACATATCTCCATCATTTAATATATGGATGTTCGTAGGGGTGTGCAACGGTCGGTTCGGTTCGGTTTTTACCAAAATTTGAACAACCGAACCGAACCGCCTATAATTCAAAACCAAACCGAACTGTTGCAAGTCGGTTCGGTGTGGTTCGGTTCGGTTTGTTCGGTTCTAACTTCATCAAACTTCTTATCAAACAACAAACTATGTTAAGAAAAAAAGATATTAACAAAGTAGGAGATTATGAAACATTAGACACTGATATAATGATATTGTTTTTAACCCATAATGATTCAGAAAATGAGTTTAGGGTTTTGAGTCTTTGACTCTTTGGGGATGAGTCGGATAGGGTTTGAGATCATAATGAGTAATATTGCACTATATTCGGTCGGTTCGGGTCGGTTCGGGTTAAAAAGTTTTCAAACCGACCTGAACCGCCCTACTCATAAAACCAATTTTTTCGGGTCGGTTCGGGTCGGTTTTTTCGGTTTGGACCGAACCATACTCAGCCCTAGATGTTCGTGTTATCAATTAGAAAAAAAATAGAAAACAAAATAAAACTCCATTAGGTAATGTATTCAATTTCATTTCCATGTTTTTGTTCTCTTGGTAAGAAATATTAAAAAAAACAATTCATACATTAGAAATGTCTGGGATTGCGTACTCAACTTATCCTATACATTTATCTAACATTCAATTTATAGCAGAATATGAACAATGAGTTAAACGGAGAAAAAGAAATTTGCCAAAAATGGTAAGAGAAGGCTAAAAAAGGAGCAAAATATACGATTTGAAAATAAATGTGGGGCATTCCGAGAATTGAACTCGGGACCTCTCGCACCCTAAGCGAGAATCATACCACTAGACCAAATGCCCTGCGTGCGAGAAATATCCTAAAATTATTTATTATCACAATTAACAAGCCTGAAAACTAGGTCTCACTCGTCCAGAGCAATACGAGTCCGCTAGAGCTATAAAAGATGCCGTGAGTTCCTTCATTCATCTCGTCTTGTGAGATATTTTCCCCTCTTCATCCATTTACTGTTGCTAGGGTTTGTTCTTAAATCGAATCGTACGTAAAACAAATCTTAGATCCGTCTTCAGAGGTTCGATCTTCCACCTAAATTTCTCGTTCATTGTTTTCTCTCTCTTTATTTTTTTGGGGGTAGATCTACGTTTAGTCTTCTTTATCTCAGATCCTATCATATTCTAGAGCACGATGTTTCTTTACAATCATTTTTAATTCTTTTTGCCGCTTTAGGAAGCGATGTCTTGCTAGGATTTACGTTTTCGCCCTAATTTTTTTTCTTTCCTGTGGCTGTATTATTTCTAATTATGATATCGATCTAAGTATCTTTTTTTTTTTAAATTCGGGTGAGATCTTTAATCTAGCTGATGGTTCTTTTCGATATTTGTTTGTCTTGTATTTGTTATTCAGTTTGTTGTGTCATGTGTGTTATAGAGATGGTTCTTGCTTATGATTATCTCAACGAGGCATAAACAAACATATTCGTGGTGTTTTCTTCTCTTAATCAAGTTCATGATTGACGTAAAAAGTAGATGTATTGTATTGTTCTGTTAAGAGGTTGGAGGCAGCAACAGTCTGTATTGTGGCATCCCATCTAATAAATTTTTTTAAATGTAAACCGCAATTGTGTATGTAATAATTATATAATTCTCAATAGAAAGTGTTCTTACTGTGGTAAACTAGTCTGTAAAGCATAGTTTTGCTGACAATTAGAGCATTTGGGCGGAGAGGCAAGGAAATGGAAGAAAAGGAAACCATACGTTCTCTATAATTTGTCGGGAAATCGTGCAACAATAACACGCCATATATGAGTTATTGTATTAAAAGTACAAATATAGATTCAGTCTTCATGCATGTGTTTATTTGCTTTTCTAATCTTTAACTACGTTTCTAGTTTTAGCGCTATGCAGTTTTAAGGTACTATTTTTTATTTAGTTTGTGCTATTGGCCTGAAGATAAGTTGAAAACTACGTCCCAATGTGTGATACTCTGCAATCTATGCCAGAATAAATCTAGCCTACTAGAGGAGTTTCCAGTTACAATTAGATTGTACAAAATAAAAGATAAACGACAAGCTTTTACACATTAGAGAAGTGCCTAAGAAGTATCCTCTTATGTTTGTGATGCGTTTGTTAATTCCTTCATATTTTTAGAAAAAGGGAAAAATTCTATTAAACGAACTTGTTGTTATTGTGTTAATTATTTTTACGTAACATGGTATAGCCTTATTTCTGTGCACGTTTGCGTATGCACATGCATGTACTATCATTTAGAATTGTAAGTATGTTACATTTTGATTAAGTTTGCTTAAATGTACCAAGATATTTGAAGAACTTATGTGATAAATTATCCTGTTGTATAGTCTTAGAGGTGCTTTTCCTAATCGTGTATAATTTAAAATTTCTTGTTGTGCTTCAAAAATTGGACTATTCTTTTTTCGCGATTATGCAGGTTGCTATTTGGCTGCTTATCACAATTTATAGTCTTACTTGTTGGGCCTACTCCTTAGTCAACCTACATCTTTGTGGCTATGAACACACATGACTACTTTGTAACTAGCAAAGACTGAAATGTTGGTGTCTAGCCTTAACTGTTAGTGGCATTGGATGCTTTCTGTTAAGTAATTACAAATTATAACTCATATTTCTTAGTATAATTAACATCAATAGGCCTCAGTTGTATATTCTCTTCCCACAGCATTGTATCTGTGTGCAATGATAAGCTCATGCTTTGTTGTCTTCATTCTTGCAATGTCAATTTGAGGACATAAAAAGTAATCATTTCCTTCAAATTTATCCTACTGCTAAAGATTATAAATATGTGAGGCTGTTGATTGACTAGCTTCTTTGAGCTGTTTATCAGAATCTGATTGAATATAAATATATAACCATCAACCCTCACCCTAACTTGAGTTCTAGTGAAATGGTTGGTGTAATGGTTGGGATTTTTAAGTATCAAAGCAACCAAGGTTCAAGTCCCACCGGCTGTGATTTTAAAACTGATTTTCTAACAATTGACACAGTTGCGTGAGTCCAGGTTTCAGCCCGTAAAAAGGACGCTTAACCCGCGAAGAGCGTGTTAGAATATAAAATTATAACTCTCAACCCTCATTACAATTAGGGGTTTTGGTGTAATGGTTGGACTTTAAGAGAATTTAAATTGAAAACATCAAGATGTCTCATTTAGTACAAAGTACAAACAACAGACCGATCATATGCTGTTAACTGATGTTTTGAGTCCATTTCATACAATTTGCACTCTACCATTTTATGTATAGTTAACTGATGTTTTTGAGTCCTTTTCCTATGATTTGCTTTCTCTAATGCTATGTGCAATAAACTTATTTAATCTTGTGGCCTTTGATGATTTTATTATGCATATGATTCTTTGTTTTCTTTGAGTGTAAGGGATGAGACCTCAACTGAGAAAGATATTAAATTGTATCTTTCATAAAAAATCGCCTCCACACAATGCTCAGCGAAATACTGGGAAATGGAAATAACTGCCAAATATGGTTGCATCTGGAAAGTTCCTCCAACATGGCGACGTAAACATCATCCTGTTCGGATTAGACATAAATTTCTCAGAGTTACTCCATCCTTATCTCTTAGGAATTAGGGAAGCTGCACTTGATCTGCATATGATTTCTTTGTCAGCTAGGAATTTGTTTGTTCAATTAAGAGAGTTACATAAAGTTTCCTTTTAGTATTCCATTACTTCCATGCTCACTTCTGTTTATCTTTCACAGTTCAATCATGTCCGATACGGAGTACCGCTGTTTCATTGGTGGCCTTTCTTGGTCAACCAAGGACGATGACTTGAGAGATGCATTTGAAAAATTTGGCCGCTTGTCTGAGGCGAAGGTAACTAATAACATTGCTAAGACACATGTCATGTAGTTCAACATTAGAAAAGCTTATTGTACTTAAGAATTACATAAACCAGTTAAACCAGTTAAACCTGCAGCTTATACTAAGACTATTTCATGCTGTCGGTAATTTAGAATCTACAATTCCGGTAAAGTTCTAAGATGAGAAATATTTCACTTTGACATATATGTCTAATCTTCATAATGCATTCTTAGTACCTTCAATACTTTAACCTTTAATTGGAGTTACTTGTCAAATTTTACTAGCTTTTAAACCATGTTTATCTAGCTTTTAAACCATGTTTGTACTTGTCTTCACTAGCTACTGTTATTAAAGAACGTCTATTTTTACTATAAATTCTGTATATTGCTTGACATCTTCTTTCAATGTTGATTTTTTAATTTGCCTCCTCAACTTATCATTGATCTCGGCAAACTTTAGGTTGTTGTTGACCGATTTTCTGGTCGATCTCGTGGGTTTGGCTTTGTCACATTTGATGATAAAAAGGCAATGGAAGATGCTATTGATGCAATGCATGGAGTTGACCTTGATGGACGAGCTATCACTGTAGACAAGGCTCAGCCTCAAGGGTCTGGCAGAGACCGTGACGGAGACCGTGGGTATGATCGTGGTGGTCGTGATCGTGACCGCGGTCGTGACTATGGCGGAGGCGGTGGTAGAGGGTCTGGTGGTGACTGCTTTAAATGTGGCAAGCCTGGACATTTTGCTAGAGAGTGTCCATCTGGTGATGGAGGTAGAGGAGGGGATAGGTATGGAGGTAGGGATGATAGGTATGGTGGCGGTGGAGGCAGTAGTCGTTATGGACCTGATCGCAATGGGGATAAATATGGTGGCAGTGGACGAAGCAGGGATGGAGGAAGTCGTGGTGGATCAGGAAGTGAGAGGTACAGCCGTGACCGCTCTGGACCATATGAACGCCCTAGTGGTGGTGGCGGATACCGTTGATAAATGGTTCTCCTGCTGCAGGTACAGACATGTTTTTATCGTATTGTATAATATCATATCGTAAAAGTTTGTGATTGGTTTGCAAAATAATTAAGTCATCTCTATTGACTGATGCAGCTTCACAGGGAACTGGAGGAAAATATCCTGAAGCCTTGACAGTTGATCGGACATGTTAAGGATTGGGCGGACAATACTAGTTCAGTTTTAGCTTGTGATCTTAGACCGTATGATAAGTAAACCTGATGCTTTTGCTTGCTTGACATATGCTACCTGGATTTTGTTCCTTTAAACTCCGCATAGTATTGGTGCTTGGTTCTAGATGATTTGGCTTGCAATATATTATTGTGTTCTTGGGATTCTTGGTTTATCATATATTTGGACTCCTTGAGGACTAATTGGGGGCCTATAGTGTGGAGTTATTTGGGTCCCGTCGTTGGTTATCTGATCACGTGAGATCTGCCTGAAGTATAGAAAAAGGGGTTACCTTGGCTTTTGCTGATCTCTCCAAAAAAAGCTTTTTTAATTGTTAACTGTTGGCAGGAGAAAAACCGGGTAAAGTTTTAGTCTCTCTGGACTATAAACTACGGGTTATTTATAAGTTTTCGAATGATTTTAATTGTTTTAACCTTTTGGCAGGCTCTGATTGGCCTTTGTGATCTTTCTTCGTGCATGCTTAGGTTCTGGGTAAAACTGTCCATTGATTGAACACGATTCTTGCACTTTCCTGCTTATGCATTTCTTTGGCAGAGCAGTAGACACCCTGCAATGTTAGACAAGGATTGACCCTGCAATGTTAGACAAGGATTGATCTTATCTGAAATTTTGTTCTGTTGAGGGAATTACAGCCTGCATGTTCGCAATATGGTTCGCGTTGAGAATTTGTTACGTCTTCAAAGAGTGTTGTGGCTTTAGTGTTACAGCTTGTTCCTTTGTGCCTAGTCACTTGCGAGAAGATTTCTTGTTCCTGGTTCCAATTTTCAATAGTGCATAAAGGTTCTTGTCCTGATTCTATCGTTCCTGAGTTTCCAATGGAGGTTCTCCTCAGGAGTTTCCCTTTTGGATATATTTGTCATACTTGTTTACTGGGATGTATAGCTGTAGCTCTAAACATGATACTAATGCTTGGTTCTTGATCGTGCGAACAATTCACAAGTGTCTTGATCCATGGCCTTGAAATTTGATGATACCTAAACTTGATCAGATTGAAGGAAGTGATGCTATGTTCTTGCCTATTTTACCGAGCTCATGTTGATCCCACCTTTTGGGCTGATCACAGTATTATAGTATATGCGGTAGCTATCCTGGATGCAACCGTACATGCAGTAGCTGTTCTGGATGGGGCTTCAGATTCTCTCCATCTGTGAGTGTAGAGATATTCTACAATTACTAACGTGGATCAACAATATTGTTCCATTCAGTGGTTCCCACAATTAAAATTAGAGAATATACTTAGCTCCTGAATAGTATTTTTCCAATTGGAAGTGATTGATACCTTTTGCAACCTTTCAGTCTCTGGAGTTTTAACCTTTTATTTATGAGGTGTTTACTGAGTAGTTTTATTATTATTCTTACAAAATTATACATTTTGATAGTTTTAATGTGTGTCAAATATTCCTAAATCTTTTCCTTGTGCCTCTTGGATTTTGACAACAAAGGATATTGTTGTGCTTTTGGTTTATATAACCTGCACCAGTTTTTTTAAAGCACTGCTGCCTGTCAAATGCAGCTCTTGATTGTCAAACTGTTTCCTCAAGTTGAGTTTTTTTTAATATAATATTTTCCTGCAGGTTTTTGAGAAAATTTGTTTGGTTTTCTGTGCTTTTTATCATAGGCAGGAGTCTTTGTCGCTAGTGGTTGATTGTAACATTGTCTTCTTTTTATGTTTCTATGATGCTTTTCTTTTATAACTAAAACTTCCTGTTTATAGCGTACATGACAATGGAGGATACCGTTCTTGATGAATGGTTCTCGACATGCTATCTGGATTTTGTTCTTTTAAACTCCTCAGACTATTGGTGCTTGGTTTTAACCGATTTGGCAGCCATATTTTAGTCTGTTTCTCGTTTCTTGGTTTATCATATATTTGGACACCTTGAGGATTTATTGGGGGCACTATACCGTGGAGTTAATTTATTGGGGGCACTATACAGTGGAGTTATGTGGGGCTATCTTTGATTTTTGACCTCTTGAGATCTGCCAGAAGTATAAAACTGGGGTCACCTTGGCTTTTGCTGATCTCTCCAGAAAACAGTTTTTAAACCTTAATTGCTAACAGCGGAAAGACCTGGTAAAATTTTAATTTCTGTTTCACCTATGAAGCACAGGTTATTGTAAGTTACTGTGAGTTCTTCAATGATTTTAATTGCTTTAATCTTTTGGCAGGCTATGATTGGCCTTTGTGATCTTTTCGTATGCATGCTTGGGTTAATTCTGGGTAAAACCGTCCATTGATTGAACATGATTCTTGCACTTTCCTACTTATGCATTTATTTGGCAAAGCAGTAGGCACCTGCTATGTTAGAAAAGAACTGGTCTGGTCAATTTTAATGTTTGTCAAGGGAATTACAACCTGCATGTGCCCATTATGGTTTGGGTTGAGAGAATTTGGCGGTGTGACTTAGTACTACTGCTTGTTCGTCTGCGCCTCTTCACTTGAGCAGTTTTGTTCTTCCTCCTTCTAAGGTTCCTGTGTAGTTCATACTGGCTCTCTTAGCCTGTGTTGTTCTTAGCTACCTGTAGTACCTGAGTTTCCAAAGGGAGGATGCTTCCTTATTCATCAAGAGTTTCACCTTGGATATATTCAGTATACTTGTTACCGGGATATATTAGTTGCATCTCTGAACATGATACTGATGCTTAGTCTTGTTTGTGCAAGCAGTTCACAAGCTTCTTGATCCATAGCCTTGAATTTTTATCGATACCTGAACTTAACTGGATTGAAGGTGTGCTGCATGTTCTTGATCCATATCATTGAATTTTGACTGAAACCTGAACTCCATCTGATTAAGAAGTGATACAGTTCTTGATCTGTACCGCTGAATTTTGACCGATAGCTGAAGAAGTGCAGCATATTCTTGCCTATATTCAGGTTTTGTTCTTGTTCGTCACCCCTTTTGGAATGTTAACGTTACATACATTGGCTGTCCTGAATGGTCTTTTACCAGTTGGATGCGACTGTTACCCTCAGGAACCATTCAGTTTTTGATAGTTTTTTCCCCTTTCATTTATGAGATTTTTTTATGAATTTATGTTGTATGATTACTCTTACAAAATATACATATTGTATAGTTTTTAATGTCTATCAGATGTTCTAATGTTTTTTTTCTTTTTTGCTCATTACGACTCTTGTATGCCTCGTGAGTATGCTCAACAAATGATCTTGCTTCCCTTTCGGTTGGAGTCTCCATCTCTCAGGCTGTTTTAAGCACATCGGTATATCAATTAGTTTGCTTTTATTCCTCTTATTTTTTTTTTCTTTTTTCGGTTTTAGTAATAGTGAGTTCTGGTGGGGTCAAAGTTTTTCATATTTCTTATCCTTTTCTTTTATCGCGGGCATGAGTATGTCGACACTACGTATCAATTTGTATTTTTTACTATCACCTTTATGATCTTTTTTGGTTTTAAGTTATATGAGCGAGTTCCGGTAATTATCAAACGCTGCTCTTTCGTCTAAACTGCTTCCTTAAAAAGTTGTTCTCCTTTTAGAATTTGTCTCGATCATTGCCAGTAGCTGACTACAGTCTATCATCTTTTTCATGTTTCTTTGCATCCGTCTTTAGTTTTCGTTTTCATTATTAAAGCGTTGCTTTTCCAGTTTTTGATTTTCGTTTTAACGCCTGAGAGTGTGTATACTTTGTTATGCGCTTAAAAGGGCTTTAGACAGTATGGGGTTGTTCATGTAAACGACCTACAAAATAGGGTGGTTAGACGCAAATCACCTCCAAAGTTTAATTATGCGAAAACCACCCATTTTAAAGGTGGCTTCTATGGAAAAAACCCCAGAAACTACTAAAAGTATTTGTCTTGTTAGAAAGATTTGGTTTAATTCCAGAAAACCATTCTCCGCTAATCACTAAAGTCAGATAACCGTTGATATACTGTTTGTCGCGTCCACGGGGAGAGGATGGGGAGATTTCACTATATGGAGGAGAAATACAACGGGTTACAACTCACAAAATCACTCAACAAATAACCCTAACCAAAGCTCTCAACTCCCTCACAATATCTCCCTCTCAAAGTGCTCAAAACAATGCTAAAGCGGACGAGATTGAATCGGGTCTTTGCTGGAGAGATTCGATGTTTATTGCGGCGCAGTGGTTTGGAGAGATCTTGTTGGGCTGAGGGCAACTTTCTATATGCGAGCGACCTCATTACAGGCGTGCCTTATCTGCGATTGAGGGCGGAAGCCCCTATGGCGAGATGTGGTTCGTGGGGAGAGACAGCCTACATGCTCATGACCAGCTTAAGGTATATTGGTTTGCCACTGCATATATTATGTTAGAAACTGATAAGTTGGAACTCGGCGGAGGAAGGCGCATGATTCTGTAGATTCAGGTTCCCCGGGTGTCAAGGGATAACAAGCTTGGGATCCAGTTGATAGAGTTGTGCGGGGTTCGGCGGACAGTCACATTTCGATGAGGCTTCTATCTTGAAGGGTGTCCAGCTTTCATCAGGGAGAGAGCGAGGCCTAGACAGAGGAGATTTCGCGCAGGTGGTGGAGATTTGGGATGCAGCTCCACGAGAGTCCAGATAGTGGCGTATCTGAAGAGTGCCGACGACAAGTGGACGCAGTTCGCGAGCACGACGGTGATGCGGAGGATAGGGGGTACTCAATGAGCAGATCAGGGGACCGACGGCTCAGGTTCAGGATTCTATTGCCGGCACGGAGACAGAGGGAGGACATTCCGGGTTGCAAGCACAGATTATATCGCGACACAGTTGCATATGCACTTCGGGCGAGGCAGTTCCGATGAGTGGTGCGCCTACTAATTCAGGAGGAGGTCCGGCGCCCGAGCAGTAGTTCGGAGGCTTGAATTCGTGGCCAGGGGCTATGCAGCAGGAGATGGGAGTCTGTTCACTTAGAACGATACGCAGGCGGAGCTTGCTAGAGCTTCAATGGAGGGCGGAAGGCGATTGGTGTTTTGCAAGTGGGCCAGAGGACACGAGAAGCGATGCGGCATGGGGACTCTGAGGTCAAGGCTTAGCGTTCGGTTGCGAAGGGTATGCACAGCGAGGAAGGGTATTGATCAATGAGTGTTTTCTCTCCGGTGGTGAAAGCATTCGTCGTATTCGCGATTTGCTAGCTTTGGTAGGCACGAGGTATGGATTGGGTTTAGATCAGTGGATGTGAGGCGCATTTCTTGCTGTGTGATCTTGATGAAGATACATATGATAGCCATTGGGGATTCCCGAGCTGCAGGAAAGATAGTTGGTTTGCAGGCTAAAGAATCGCTTACGGTTTGAAGCGGTCTCTCGACGAGTGGTATAGGCGATGTGAGTGGTTTTGTTGGTCATTGTACCTCGAGCCAGTTGTCGGATTTGGCGGTGGTATTTTGTCGCAAGTTGAGAGGAGGGTGCGGTACATTTATTGTTGCTTTATGTCGGGATGACATGTTGATGTTTAGTTCAGGCTCCGCTATAGATTGAGTTTTGAAAGTTCAGCTTTTCGAATGAGTTTGAGATGAAGACCCTTGGGGCGATGGCGAAGCGCATTTTAGGGCATGGAGATCCTGGCAGAAGATAAGAAAGCAAGGCAGGATTTGTTGACACAGGTGGCTTATTTGAAGAGGTTCTACACGTTCCATGTTAGCATGGCTACGAAGAGTTTGCTTTAGTTTGGGAGCCATTTTGAGCTTAGTGGCCTATTCACGAAGTCAGTTGAAGACGTGAGTGATGACGACAAGACTCCATGATGCGAGGCGCCAGTGGGAGCTTGGCCTGTACGCGATGTATGTAGATGGCCCCGCGATTTGTACAGGCGGTGAGCTGGTGTCGAGATACATGGCACGATTCCAGGAGTGCGTCAATTGGAAGCCGGCAGTGAGATGGATTTTGAAGGGTAATTAGAAGGTACCGCTACATGTGTTGGTTTGCGTTTATGAAGGCGGGACACTACAGTCGGTGGCAGCAGCTATGCAGTGGGCTAGGTTTGATTCGGAGTTATGCGGGGACTTGGATAAGCGCTGGCTCTACTACGGGTAATGTGTTCACTCTTGACCGTGAGCCGGTTGTG